GTGTGTGTGTGTGTGTCCAGAATTGAGATTGTGGCTACCAAGAGTTAAGGGAGGACAAATACTACCAACCACGGAGACCCAGCCCGCCCACCCCAACCCTCCCAGAAAACGGGTTTCTGTACTCAAAGCATAGCAGGGGGAGGGAGCGCCGGGTAGGGGTGGTTGGCAGAGCCAACCTGGGAGTGTACCCGGGGAGTACCAGGGGAGTGGAGCGATGCTGCCCTCTCCTGGCTAGTCCACACCATGCCATCTCCCGACTCTGCCCCCATAGCCACCCAGGGCTGCGGTTTCCAGAGCCCACACTATGCTCCAGTCCCTGCCCACCCACCCCCCACCTCCGCCAAACTTCTCTCAGTGCCAGAAACCGGGACACATACCGATCCCAGCCAGCCCCTGACTCTCAGGACAAAGCCTTGTCCTGCGGGCAGTCTGGCCCAGCTTGACCCGCAGCCTCTGTGCATGTGTGTGCTTCCTCCAGTTCCCTATGCCCCCACCCTACACACCTTCTCCACCTATTCTCTGGCCCCTCCCCAGGGAGGTCCTCCATTCCACCCCACCTGCAACGGCCCCTCCCAACCTCCCTGCATGGACACTGACCTCTGCCAGGCCTCGGGCTCCACAGTGACCGGGCCAGAGAGTGGCCTTGGCCATCCTCCAGGTGAGGGCCACCCTGTGGGCCAGAGAGGGGTGGCCACTGGCCAAGGTCACACAGCACGTTAACAGCTGGGCAGGATTATAATGCAGTGCTTGCCCCAGCCTCCTTGGAAGACAGGTTGTTGCCACCTCCCTGCCCCCCAAATAAGACATCCTTGAGCTCAGAGACCCCTGAGATTCCTCCAGCACCCCAGCACCCCCGCCCAGACCCTGAAAGAAGCAGTCGTGAGTATTTGAAAAACAAAAAGTCTATCAGCAGAAGCACTGTCGAGTATAAAAAATAAGTTCTCTGGGGTCCGGCCGGGGAGGGGGTGCGGGCAGGGCCAACGCCACAGCGCTCTGGCCTCAGTCCAGAATGTGAATGACCAGCGGGCACAGGTGGGGCGAGTGCTTGATGCCCATGGTGAAAGCTGGGGTGCGGGGCTTGTGCAAACTGACCTGCTGGACATTGTGGGAGCCGGGGCCCGGCCGGGGGGTGTGGTCCACGGGGTAGCTGAAGCGCTGGGCCAGGCTGTAGGAGGGGCTGCGGGGCTGGAAGACGGACAGCTCAGGCCGGGTATGCTCGGCAGGCCCTGGGCCCCCAGCCACGTCCTCTTTGTAAAACCAGCTCTTGCACTCCGGAGCCAGGCTGTAGCAGGGGGCTGCTTGGGTGGTGGGGGTGTCGGGCCCTAGCAGGAGCGGCAGGTGGTACTGGTTGGGGGCCGGGTTCGGATCCGTCACTCTGTACGGGCACCGCTGGCCGAACGTGTACTGGGGAGCCCGGCGCTCCCCGGGTGGGGGCACCTTCTCTACCTTGTACCAGGAGGCAGCGGGGTTAGGGCTCAGGCCTGGAAGGGGCAGAGAAAGGGGGCTGGGGGCGGAAGCCAGGCGATGCCCCTGGGACCCAGCTTCTGGGCCATGTGGAGAGCTGATGTCTTGGTTAGCCTGGTATGGGCTTGGGGGGCCACCTCCTCCTCAGGGGAGGGGCAGCGACTCCTTTTGAGGCTATGGGCAGTGGCCGCTCAGCCTCCCTTGTTGTCATGAGTGTGAGCCACACCGCCCCTGGGCTCCAGCATCCTGACAGTGTCCCTGGGCCAACCGGCAGGTGAGCTCGTCGCAAACCAAACCCACTCAGCAGACTGGCTTCAGGACAGAGCAGGGGGAAGGGATATGGCAGGGCGGCACCAGCATCCCCTGATAGACCTGGAGGAGGTCCTGACTCTTGCCCCCTACCCGGGGCCCCCAGGGTACACGCCAGCCCCCCACCTGCCTCACCAGCCCCTTCTTACGCAGGTTAGAGATTCGCTCCTCCATGGGCACCTGCGGACAGATGCACTTTCCAAACCTGGTCGTTTGGGGATCCACAAGATAGCAAGGCCCAGGGCTGCACACATCAGTGATCCCTGCAGGGTGGTCCAGAGAGGGCCAGTAAGTCCAGAGGATGCCAGGGGGCACCTGGACTGCCTCCGGGTGAGAGCTTCCTCCCCAAGAGAGGAGCAGGGGTTCCGGGGCCTCCCCCTCTGTAAAATGGACTTTTAGCTCTCAGCTTACTAGTCTTGACAAGAACTTGTTCTCAGAGACAAGCCAAACAGCAAGCAGCTCAATCAGCTGTCCAGCCGAGCAGGGACTGGTGCCAAGGGCATCAAACAGCCAGTGTGGCTTAGTGTTAGGAAGGGGCCCGGCCCAGCCAGGGGGGGTCCCCTGCCCAGCCTCCCCTCCTCCTCATCTCCTCCTACACCCTTTCCTCTTCCTTCTTGCCTTGGCCAGCAGCCCCTGTCAGGGTTCCATGCCACCTGGGAGCGCAGAGGACCCTATAACCCAAGCCTGTGTCTGCCCAGCCTCTGTGGCAATTGAGCCCAGCAGAACCCAGAGAGCAGAGCTGAAGGTGGTGACCGCATCCCTTCCAGGTTCCCTGGGAGGTCCCCTGGGAGAGGCCCACAGGGAGGCCTTCAGGGAGGACAGGTCACTTGAACATCTCTGCAGATTTCCTTGGGGATCAGGGGGCCGCCCTAGATGTCCCGCACTTCAGTTCCCAGGCTGTGCCTCTCACCACCACCACCACCCCCCACCTCTAAGGAGAGGGTGGGTGGGCCGCCGCTCACGCTTCTCGGAGTGCCGGATGTGCAGGGTATAGGTGGGCTCCTGGAACATGGTGAAGTCATGGTCGATGTAGCCCGTGCAGGATGGTCGGCGGTACTTGGCAGGCCCGGGACCTGGGAGGGTGGACAGGACAGCCTTCAGCCCGGGACGGCCGGGTCAGAGGCAGGGGAGCACCGGGAGATCCTGGGGAGCTTTCCCCCCATGGATGTCACACTGTACAGAGACTTCTTTAGAAGAAGTCTGTTCCCAGATCAAATGCCGCGTCCCTGGGACAGGAAGTACGCGATAATAAAGGCGATGTTGTAGTCGTGCACTGCACTGAATCAGTGGGCCCCCTGCACGGCAGTCCCCAGACCTGACCGCATGCCGTCTCCATGATCAGTTATGGACTAGTTCATTGTGACCCACGGGATTGTCATTGGCTGTGTGCAGACATAGCTTGCCAGGCCTTTCTTCCTAGTCGATCCTGGCCTGGAAGCCTGAAACCTGCTCGGCACCGTAAACCAAACCAAACAGACGTGCTCACTACCTTCCAGCCTATTCCAACTCGCAGCGACCCGACAGGACAGGATCAAACTGCCCCTGCGGGGTTCTGGGGCTGTAACGCTTGATGGGAAGAAAGTCTCCTCTTTCTCCAGCAGGGCTGCTCGTGGTTTCGAACCGCTAACTTTGCAGTTAGCAGCCCCGTGGGTGACCACGACCCGCCGGGGCTCCTCTTCAGCGTCATCAAACTCTAACTCACTGCCATGGAGTTGATGCCTACACCGGGTGACCCTCTAGGTCAAGGTAGGGCTGTCCCTGTGAGTTCCGAGGCTACCTTGCAGTGAGCCGCCCAGCATCAACCATGACCCCACCAGGGCTCCTGATCCGCACACAAACCTCCACTGCCCAGTGGGGGCTGCCTTTATGGCGCCTTGGCCGGGACTCCACCCAGATCGCTGGTACTGAACGCTAGAGGGTCCCCATGGGAACAAGACCCACACCAAACCAGGACCCTGCCAGTGGGGCGAGTCCACCCCATGTGGCCCCACACAGGGTCCTTGACAGGAGCACCCTTATCTCTCTCCCTCGGGGCGGCTGGTGGGTTTGAACTGCCAGTCTTATGGTTAGCCACCCGATGCTTAGCCCCTGCCTTCCCCATAATGAAGGCAGCATTTAATGAGGGTACTGTTGCATGCTCGGCTCCCCCGAGGTTACAGAGTAGAGCGCGCTTTATGGGGACAGCCAGACTTACCTTTCAAGGTGCTGCGGGAGCCCCGGTGGCATAGGGGTCACAAGTTGGGCACAAGGTCGGCAGTTTGAAACCATCAGCTTCTTGGGAGACAGATGGGGCTTCCTGCTCCCATAAAGAGCTACCATCTCAGAAACTCACAGGGCAGTTCTACCCTGACCTATGAGTTGCTATGAGTCGGCATTGACTGGATGGATTTGAAACGCTAACCTTTTGGTTAATAGCTGCAGGCTGAACCGGTTTTGCCACCCAGTAATTTTATCATTCACTGGGAACCTGCTGTGCACTCATCTTACAGATGAGAAGACCGAAGCTCAGAGATCATCAACCTCCCCCCCACCCCCACCGCCCAATCACACAAGTTGGTAGCAGATTTAAAGCGGGACACCATTGACCGAGGGGGTAGGGGTGGGGGGGGTTCTTGATTAAAAATTTGGTCTATATGAACCAAATAGACTGTTCCCTAGCTTGTGCATTCTTTCCAAAAATCGGAACCTTTTTTAAATGCCAAAAATCGGTAAAGCGGGACATCTGGTCACCTTAGAAGTGGGAAGTCTTGGGACCGTTTAACCATGATCCTAAGTCACTTCTCAGGCAGAGCAATGATTGGTCATGAACAGCAGAGTAGGAATTCGTTTATCCACGCTGTGCTTTCAGAGTGAAATCCCAGAGAAAGAAAGACATTTACAGCTGGATTACAGGCTGCTCTGAAGTCCCGGCCTTCCCAGAGGCTGGTCTCTGCCTCCCCCACCTCCCCGAAACATCCCAGCAGCCCCTGGTGCCCATGGGCCGCAGCTAGGAGGCGTGGGTCTCCGGTCGCTTGGAAAAGAAACAGAAGGCAATTCTCGGGCAGCAGGGCTGGAGGCCCTGGGAGAGGGCCGAGGGCCCAGGTCAGGGCCGGCTGCTCTCACCAGTGGCCAAGGCCATGATGGGCTTCCTGGGCTTTTCCTCCTGCCGTGAAGCCAACGGCAACTGCTTCTTGAGAGGCCGCTGGAAGGACACGGTCTTCCGCGCCCCGTGGGGTAGCTTCATGTCGGGGGGCCAGAGAGGAGGCGACCGTGGATCCGGTGGGATTCTAACAGCGGACAGGGAGCTGGGCCTGTGTGGGTTGTACCCGGAGACCCCTGGCCAGGCCGGGGCCTCTCAGTCCACTCTCTCCCCTTCCACAGGAGGAGTGTGTCGGCGCTGCGACGGAGCAGCTGAGGCAATCTGGGGTGCAGCCAGCTGCGGGGCCCAGCAGGCCGGAGCGAGGATGATGTCACACCAGAACTCAGACTGTTTATTTCTCCCGGTTGCCATGGCACCTGGGCTGCTGCGTAGAAGTTCTACGCTGGCAACTCCGTGGTGGAGCCCTGAGGTCCAGCCAACGGCCAGCAGGCCCCTGCGAGGAAGCTAAACCACCTGAGGGCCCCCAGGGCCGGAGACAGGAAGGGGAGGGGAGTGACAGATACCACACCCACCCCAGACAGATGGCCCTCCACTGCTGACCAGAGCCAGCTCATCACCCGGTGTGGGTGCTCTGGTGTGGGTGCTCTCGGTGGGGGAAAGGGGTAAAAAGGTGGGTGGGTCGTGGGGGAAGGGTTCTTGAAGCCTACACAGTCTTCTTTGGGGGAGTCTCTAGCCCCCAGTCTCACCCATCTAGCCCTGAGCCACGCTCTGAACAAGCGGCCTCTTCTCTCTCAGTCTGGTTTTCCTTGGGAAAGGAAGAACCAACTATTTCACACTAAGGTGTGACTGCCTAACTTAAAGAATGTTTGCCTCTCATGCATGAGGGGGACTGCGGGTGGAGACCCAAAGGCCCTCTGTAGGCAACTGGACATCCCCTTATGAAAGCGTCGCAGGGAGGAGTTGAGCCGGTCAAGGTGCAGTATACCACCAATGAAACATACAACTTTCCTCTAGTTCTTTAATGCTTCTCCTCCTCCCTCCCCCCCCCCACTATCATGACTCCAATTCTACCTTAAAAATACAGCTTGACCAGAGGATGTACACGGGTACAGATAAGAGCTGTAAACACAGGGAATCCAGGACAGATAAACCCCTCAGGACCAATATTGAGAGTAGCCATACCAGGAGGGGAAAGGGAAGGTGGGGGGAGAATGGGGGAATCAATAATAAGGATCTTCATATAACCTCCTCTAAGGGGGATGGACAGCAGAAAAGAGGGTAAAGGGAGACACCGGTCAGTGTAAGACATGAAAAAATAATAATTTATAAATTATCAAGGTTCATGAGGGAGGGAGGGGGGGAAATGAGGATTTGGTACCAAGGACTCAGGTGGAATGAAAATGTTTTGAAAATGATGATGGCAACAAATGTACACATGTGCTTGACACCGTGGACAGATGTATGGATTGTGATAAGAGCTGTGCGAGCCCCCAATAAAATGATCAAGAAAAAGAAGAACGCTTGCCTTCTGCCTCCACTCCAGGCAGGGAAGGAGAGAAGCGGTGGGGGTGGTCCTGCGATCCCAAGAGGTCACTCTCTGCCCCATGGATGCATGAGCCCCAGGGCTGAGGGCAGGGAGACCCCCTTCACCCCTTCTCCAGGGGGCTTTGGGGCCTTGGCACCTGCTTACCCCCCCACCAGTTCATAACGTAGATGGAGGATCTCCTTCTCTGGAAGCAGATGGCCGCTGACTTTAGCAGGGACGGTCCAGGAAGGAGCCAGGACTTGCCCTGCGTCCCATGACCCAGTGTCAGAGGTGGAACTGAGGCACAGCCGCCTTCTCAGCCTCTGCCCTGCAGCAAGCCCCCTGCCCCACACCACCCCCATTCCTTACCCCCCATGCCCACCCCAACTCTGGATTTATTCCCACCACAGCATCTAGAGGGCCAGGAAGCAGTCAGTGTGGGGCAGGGGGTCCCCCCAGAAGTCTTTCTGGGGACTAGATACCCAGGAACCGAGGGCAGCCCCCCACAGAGGTGGCAGCCCCTACCCGTGCCCCACCCAACCTTAAGGCAGATGAGCCTCTGAGTCTGGGGAGGGTCACGGGAAGTGATGAGTCCCTGGTGGCCCCCCGGTGCTGAGACAGACCAGGAGTGGGATGGGGAGCCACCCCTGGTCACTAGACTATCCAAATGTCTCATCCCAGGAAGCTCCTGGCCCTTCCCCATACCTCCGCATTAGGCTGCAAGCATCACTCCCTTCCAGCTTCCAAGGTGAGATCTGGCTCAGCCCTGAGGATGGCGCTGTCCCTCAGAGCCAGGTGAAGTGGGTCACCGGCCGTGGCCCCTCCCCTTCAAAGCACCAGTTATCTGAGTCCCACCCTGCTGTGTGTGCGCTCTGGGAGAAGAAGAGATCCCCCAAGGGAGCTGCCTAGGCTTCACCTGTCCCTAGCCTGAAACCCTGGGGACCCTGGCTCATGCTGTCCTCCCCCAATTACCCTGGGGATTGAGCCTCTCCAGGGACTTCTCTCTGTCCCGCCCCCCTTCCAGAAACCACCTGTCCAGTGGTGAATTCTCATCTTGCATGCAGAGACCCCTGCTCGACTCCCAGCCAGTGCCCGATGTGTGGCCAACAGCGGTCAGCGGAGGCTTGTATGTTGCTCTTTTGGTGAGCGGATTTCAGCTGAGCTGCCAGTCTAAGACGGGCTGGGAAGAAGAGGCTGCTTCTGAGAACCAGCCGATGACTTGGGACCAGAAAAGTGCAATCCCTTGTGCATGAGGTCGCTGGGAGCGGCCTCAGACGCGGTTAACACAACCCCCTCTCAGCACACCCTGGGCTTCTCCTCTGCCTCCCACTGCACTAGACACCCGCCTCCCTGGGGATCACCGCTTCCTGTTCCTTCCCTCTCTGGCTCGCTCACCAAGGTCCTCATCTCCTCCCACTCAGCCCTCCTGCCTTCCGCCCCTTCTGGTCCAGCTTCCTTCCTGACAAATCCCAGCCCTGCATCATCGTCCCGCTCGGCTCTGTCTGCAGGGTCAAACCCATGGCTGAGACCCCCTGGACTTGCTCCTCACCCCCACCACCACCCCCACCACCCAATCAGCTCAGCGGCCACCTTTCCATGTCTCAGAACATTTCAAACACGACTTAGCCCCCTTCGGTACATGGCTGCCTCCTCTGCAGAGGCTCAGCATAATGGGGTCTGACTCAGGCCCTCCCTGACAGAGCCACTTAGATCCACCCGCTTCTGCTTCCCAGCAGGGGCTCGGGAGGACCCCCAAGACCTCCCCCATCACCTTCGCATCTCCGCTGTCATCTCCCCATGTCTTCCTCTCTTCCCCGGGGCTGCAGGCTAACGCTTCTCCCAAGGGGCTTTCTTTCCCTCCTTGTCTCTATCCCTCCCCATCCCTTTACGCTTCAACTCCATCACAGCCCCTAAACTAGTCTCGGTCAGATCTCCCAAGACCCCCCTGCAGCCAATGGACACAGCTCGTCCTCCTCGGGGTTGGCATCTTGGCTGCACAGGGCCAGAGCGATGACCACACCCTCCCTCGTTAAAGAAAACAAAACCCGGCTGTGAATTGAGCGGCGGTCCACAGCGCAGGTCTCCAGGTTTATATTCGAAGGCTCATGCACATGCGGCTCCATCTCATTCATGACGATCCCGCCTCTTCCTCTCCTTTCCTGCCTCCATCCCTCTTTCTTTCCCACCCTTTCTGAACTTGGTCCTGGGGCCAGTGCTGCCACCTCGCTCCCAAAATGATTCCAATGTGTGTGCAGCTCGCTGGTTTACCCTTCTATGGATGACGTTCTGCCCCGTTGCCTTTTTCAATGTATTATCTGCTTCTCAAGCAGATTAGCTTTCATCTCATGCATTCTATTTGCTGTGTTGGTGGGTTTCTGATATTTTATTTATGTTGTCAGTTTGTTCTCGCAGTCTTTTCCTGAATTCTCCTGAAGCTTTCTTTGGTTTCAGCTTTTGATCTTTCTCACAGTGGCAGTCACATAATTTGGTGTCAACTTGCGAAGGGGGTGGAGTCTAGCCCGTCAATCCGGTCACAGCTTGATGACTTCATTTTGTGGGTACCACAGAGATAACTAGCTCACTGGAGGCCAGATACACACAGACTCTCTGCTTCGCCTAACGGCTAACAAGACACATGGAGACCCCTGATGGAACCGGAGCCCTGGAGCTGGAGGAGCCACGTGAAGATCCCTGCCGGTGCTAAGACGCTTCCACCACCACTGGGTCCACAAGACTTTCCATCTACTGGCCTGTGATCTTCCTGCATTCGGCATCATTGCATGTGTTGTGTGAGTCTGAAGAGGAAATTATAGACTGGTATTGGACATGTGGGCTAATATCGGACGAATGGATTTGATCTGGACTGGGCTGGGATGTTTTCTCAATGTACAATGACTCATTGATATAAAGGTCTCTCTTACACACTGGCTTTGTGTCTTGGGTCCTCCAAGACTAACAGACTCACCCTCTGTTAACAGGAACCGAAGATCCTTCTTTTGAATTCCTTTCCCAGTAGTTCCTCAGAAAGCTACCTGGGCTCTGTGTCGTGGGGCCACTTGTTTAAGCCACTATCTTATGTCTTCATGTGAATTGAAATTTTTGATTGTCTCTGAGACATTGTGATTGTAAATATTTATATTTAATTGAGGATTGTATGTTGGTGTGTTCTGATAGTGAGTGTGAATGCAGTTGTCTCTTCACCATACATGCAGCGCAATTGAGTTTGCATTTAGCCGTATTAGTTGCTGTCTATCGATGATCAAGTGGTATAGGAGTGAGCAGGGGCCCTCATCCAGCAGGCTGGGCTGCAAGAGGTACGAATGTGGCTGGGCAGTGTGGGTATAGTTGTTGTCTCAAGGGAGGGGGGCGGAGGAGAGAAAAGGTCCCTGGGGCAGGGAAAACAATAGCAAACAAATAAAATAATAAGGAAAAAAATAAATAGAAAAAAAAGAAAAATATATAAATAGGGGAGAGAAGGCCAAAAAAGGAAAACAGAGAAATAAAAGCTAAAAAAAAAAGAGAGAGAGAGAGAGAAGGGAAAGAAAAGGAAGGTGGTAAAGAAAAAGGCAGAAACTGTTGGAGACAGAGCACCTACACCGGCTGGCATCCTCTGCCAAGGAGCTCACGGGACTGGACGGGAGCAGAGGAAAGCAGGGGAACGTCTGGCCCCAGAGCTCCTGCTGGCTGAGGGGTTGTCTAGGTGGAGGGCACCCGATCCAGAAGTGG